GGGGCGACCAGCCGGAGGGGCCTGGAGAGCCTCCTGTCCGTGCTGCTGCGGGGGGTGCAGACCTGAGCTCCCGCACTCATGGCTCGTCTTCTCTTAGCTTCTAAGGTTCTTGCTTTTCCACACCCAGAAGACAGTGCCCGAAGCCAGGGACACCAGCCATGCGCCAAACAACTGGGCCTCAGGTGAGCTGAGCTTCCTTTCCATCTGTTAAAAAAAGCACATTAGCGCCCGGCCGGTGTGGCTCAGTGGTTGAGCGCGGGCCTTATGAACCAGGAAGTCAGGCTCCAGGAGGTCACGGTTGGATTCCCGATGAGGGCCCTGCCCCGGTTGTGGACCCGATCCCTGGTGGGGGACGAGCAGGAGGCAGCCCATCAATGATTCTCTCTCATCCTTGATGTTTCTGCCTCTCTCTCCCTCTCCCTTCCTCTCTGAAATCAATACAAACTTATTTATTTATTTTTAAATCACAGTAGCTCTCAGTTGATCAGGAAAGGACCAAGAAGGCCTAAGGTGGCCAGGCTCTGGTTTTCGCTTTGAGTAAATACCCGGGGGAGGAAATGAGACTTTTGTGTATAGAGAGGGATGAATTTGGATGTGTAGGTTTAAGTGTAAAAGGGGGACCCAAGCCTAGAAATTCTCCTCCACTGTGGAAATCTAGATCATGTTCTACAAAGAAAAGTCACCTGCTGAGGTCAGAGAAATTCTTCATTGAAGAGATTGCCCCACAAATAGGAGACGTATCCCAGAGAGACCAGCATTGTTCTTCCCATACGCACTTTGTAAATGCTGGGTGCATAGTATTGAATAATGCAGACAAGTTCCCTTTTCTCATTAGCCAAATAGACAGTCTGCAAACAGATACACAAGATACCATAATTACATGTTGCCAAAGCACAATGCGTCTCAAGAGTGTGGTCCACTGGCAGTGTGGGCATCACCTGGGAGCTCATTAGAATTGCAGAGTCTTGGGCCCCATCCTAGACTCCGTCAGACTGGGGAGGAGGATAGCGGGGCCGGGAATCTGCTGTGAAAGCCCTTCAGGGGATTTTTATATACCTTCTCCAATTTGAGACACCTCAAGGAAGCTACCTCTCCAGGGGAGGCCTCCTAGAGGTAGGATCTCATGTCAAGGATGCGATAGAAACAGTCTTGGGAACTGCTGAAGAGAGAACTTTCCAGAGAGGAGTTCAGCAAATGCAAACCCCCTGTAGGGGGTGGGGGTGGGGGTGAGGGAAGCTGGGTGTACTTTAGAAATGGGGAAGTCAGAGAAAGTTCAGTGTGAGATGGGGGACGTAGGCACATGTCTGGTAGGTCACTATGAAGACTTTGGTTTCTACTCTGGGTTCACTGGGAAAGCACTAAAGAATTTTAAAAAGGGGAGGTGACATGGTTAGATTTATTTATTTAAAAGGTTTTCCATGGTGGTGAGTTGTTTGTGGAAGGGTATTGGTCAGTTGCATGTTGTAGATCAGGTAAAAGATTAAGTATTGTCTTTTTTTTTTTTTAATATATTTTATTGATTTTTTACAGAAAGGAAGGGAGAGAGATAGAGAGTTAGAAACATCGATGAGAGAGAAACATCGATCAGCTGCCTCCTGCACATCTCCTACTGGGGATGTGCCCGCAACCCAGGTACATGCCCTTGACCGGACTCGAACCTGGGACCTTTCAGACCGCAGGCCAACGCTCTATCCACTGAGCCAAACCGGTTTCGGCAAGTATTGTCTTTTTCATTTGTAATTAGACTTCATTTTTTAGAGAAGTTTTAGTTTCATAGCAAAATTGAGCAGAAAAAGCAGATCCCATGTCCTTCCTGCCTCCACACATGCATAGCCTCCCCCATTATCATTGTCCCCCATCAGAGTGGTACATTAGTTAAAATTGATGAACCTACATTGATGCATCATAATCATCCAGAGTCCATAGTTTGCATTAGGGTTCACTTTTTTTTGTTCTGTTATTTTTTAAAAATACATTTTTATTGATTTCAGAAAGGAAGGGAGAGGGAGAGAAAGATAGAAACATCAATGATGAGAGAATCATTGATTGGCTGCCTGCTGCAAGCCCCCTACTGGGGATGGAGCCCCGAACCCCGGCATATACCCTGACCAGGAATCGTACTGTGACCTCCTGGTTCATAGGTTAATGCTTAACCATTCGGCCACACCTGCTGAGCAGGTTCATTCTTGGTGTTTTACATTTTATGGGTTACAAACGTATGTGACATGTATCCGCCATTATAGCATCGTACAGAGTTTTCATGTCCTAAAAAATTCTTTGGGCTCTACTTATTCATCCCTCCCTCCCTGGAAACCATTGATCTTTTCAACTGTTGACATTGTTTTGCCTTTTTCAGAATGCCAAATAGTTGGAATTATATTGTATAGGCTTTTCAGATTGGTTTCTTTCACTTAGTCATATTCATTTAAGGTTCCTCTATGACTTTTCACAGCTTGATAGCTTATTTCATTTTAGTGTTGAGTAATAAATATTCCCTCGTCTGGATGTACCACAGTTTGTTTTAGACACTTACCTACTAAGGACATTGTGGTTGCTTCCAAGTTTTGGCAATTATGAGTAAAGCTGCTGTAAACTTCTGTGTGCAGGTTTTTGTGTGGACATAAACTTTCAGCTCATTTGGGAAGATACCAAGGACGTGATTGCTGGATCATATGGTAAGAGTATGTTTAGTTTTGTAAGAAACTGCCAAACTGTCTTCCAAAGTGGCTGTACCATTTTGCATCCCCACCAGCAATGAGAGAGTTCCTCTTCCACTCTTCCAGCATTTGGTTGTCAGTGTTCTGTTCTAGATTTGGCTATTCTGATAGATGTGTATCTCATTGTTTTAATTTGCATTTCCCAGATGACATATGATATTAAACATCTGATCATATACTTATTTGCCATCTGTGTGTCTTTTTAAAAAAAAAAATTTTTTATTGATTTAAGAGAGGAAGGGGGAGAGAGCTAGGAACATCAGTGGATCTGTGCCCAGAGACAGGGCACTGCCAACCTTGTCTGAATACAGGTGGTTCAGAGAAGAGACTGGAACAGGCAGGTTGTGGGGTTTTTTCAACAGAGCTAGCTTTTTGATAAAGTAAGAAGATATGAAAAGAAATTTGCAAAATGCTGGAAAAACTTTTTTAAAAAAAATATATTTTTATTGATTTCAGAGAGTAAGGGAGAGGGAGAGAGAGATAGAAACATCAATGATGAGAGAGAATCACCGATCAGCTGCCTCCTGCACGAACCCCTTTGGGGGAATCGAGCCCACAACCTGAGCATATATGCCCTTGACCAGCCTTGAACCCGGGACCCTTCAGTCCGCAGGCTGATGCACTGTCCACTGAGCCAAACCAGCTAGGGCTATGCGTGCGTACTTTAGATGGGCGGAGACGGGGTGAGTGGCAGCTACCTGTAGTGGTTAGTGTATAGAAAATAAGGTGACCAGAGTATGGAGTACTTGAGATAGGAGGTGCCGGAGGGACAGATCCACAGGGGTTGATGCAGTTACCAGGCAGAGAGCCCCAGATGCCAGGCTATGAGATTAGGATGACTTAGAGCTGAGCAGATGGGAGTGCGTTGGGGTTCCATGTTTGAAGTGGAATGACTGGCTGAAGGCGATCTTGATAGAGCAGACCTTCCACGGGGCTCAGAGTTGGGGACCTGCAGTTCAGGCTGCCTCCTTCTGCCCCTCACTCAGAGCTTGAGCAGGAACCTGTTGTTTCAGGAGTCCGTGACCTTTGAGGACGTGGCCGTGTACTTCACCCAGAATCAATGGGCCAGCCTGGACCCTGTGCAAAGGGCCCTGTACAGGGACGTGATGCTGGAGAACTATGCAAATGTGGCCGCCCTGGGTAGGTCCCTCTCATTGGCTCTTCGTGATAGTTTGACATCTTTCTCAGATATTTGGGGGGACTCTAGTAGCCCTTGGGTTTGATGACTCTGCGGGGGAGTTCTGCAGTCCCAGCCTTTGGAGATGCTGGGTGGGGAGATCCTGGTGCCCTTTGGTTTTGAAACTGGACTTGCTTACACCTCAGGGAGGAGTGAGATTCTGGGCACTGAGTGGAAGGACTTCCTGGTGCCCTGGGTGACCTGTTCCTCCATCCTTCCATTGTCCTGGGGTTGTGGGTCCTCCTCTCTGAGGAGAGTCTCCCAGGATATCAGTGCATATATCCTTCCTGAGGGGCTTTCCTTTCTAATAGCCAGGGCAAGGTTGACATTTCCTTGGAGAACGGCTGTCTCCCTGTCATTCCTTTTAGAGCCCATCCACTTTAAGCCCATCCTCAGAACCTTGGCTGGCTCCCTTGGTCTCCGAGGCAGTCCATTTCTCTCCCCTCCCAACTAGCCCATTAGGAGCTGGGCCTAGAGAGATCTCAGGAAGAGGTCTGGACGTCTCCCTCAACTTGTCTGTCTTTTTTTCTTACTGAAGTGGCATTTCCAGCCCCCAAACCTGATCTGATCTCCCAGCTGGAGAGAGGGAGTGCACCCTGGCGCCCCGATCCTTGGGAAGCAGAGGTTTTGCGAGGCATCTGTCCAGGTGAGTAAGAGAATACAGCAGTTTCTGGCTTGGCCTTCCTGGTTTACTGGAAATGTTTCTTCTGCAGCAGAAAACAAAGCTCCCTGTTGTCCATAAGGCAGTAGTCGGTGCACTCTGACCTCCACTGAGTTCCAGCCCCGAGCCCAGAGAGACCAGTCCCCGGAGTGCGTGGCCACACACTGTCGGCACACACATGTGGCCGTGCTCCTGCAGAAAGCTGTGACCCAGGAGCTCCTGAACCACTTTCTTTCTCACCTGTGGAAATATTTAATTTCATGCCAGTTTTCATGGCAGCAGAGGAGTAGGGTTTTTGCCATATTTTAAGGAAAATTTGATTCTGTGGGTCAAACTGATTTCTTTGTGCCACAGCTATGGATTTTATTTTAATTTGCCTTTATTGGTGCAGTTTAAAGATTCCTATGCCATAATATTTGGGTTTACATTATATTTGTCCTATTTGAGGTTGCATAGGAGAAGGCAAGGCACATTCCCCCCACCACGGCACCCAGCACATACACACATCCTCTAATTTCCCCAAGACTGCTTCCCAGTCCTGGGAGCTTTTCATTACTTGGTTTTCTTTCCTTTCGAAAGAAGGTTTCAGGCCTCACTTCTCACACATACTGTGATTTTGTAAGTAATGGTTCATTTAGTAATGATGCCACTATGGTATCTCCAACTTCTGTTCCAGCTGACTTTCTGGAGGAATCTTTTATCTCAGAATATTACGTGGAACATTCAAAAATGGAATTATTAGGCCATTATTCAGAATTTAGAATTCGGGTGGTTTCCTGGCCTATGAGGGCGGCGGGGGCATTATAATCTGTTGTTTGCTCACTTGTGTTCCCAGCCTGCTCCGCCTTGTCATGCTAGAGCTGACCTCAGAGCAGTCTCACTGGTCTTTTTCCTCTTCCGGGTCTCTCTCTTTAAAAAATTTTCCATTTCTGCTGATCCCTCTTATCTGTCCTTTTCTTTTCTCTGTCCCCGCTCATGCCTTCCTTCCTTCCCATTTTTTTTATTTTTTTATTTTTACTGATTTTTTTTTAATCCTCACCCAAGGCTATTTTTCCATTGATTTTTAAAAAAATATATTTTTATTGATTTCAGAGAGGAACGGAGAGGGGAGAGAGAGATAGAGACATCAATGATGAGAGAGAATCATTGACTGGCTGTCTCCTGCATGCCCCCTAATGGGCAACCCTGGCATGTACCCTTGACCAGAATGGAACCTGGGACCCTTCAGTCCACAGGCTGACACTGAGCCAAACCAGCAAGGGCCCATTTATTTTTAGAGAGTGGAAGTAAGAGGGAAAGACAGAAATGTTGATGTGAGAGAAACACATTGGTTGGTTGCCTTCTCTACGAGCCCCAACCAGGACCCGGGCCAGGGAGGAGCCTGCAACCAAGTTATGTGCCCTTGACCAGAATCAAATCAGGGATCCTTCGGTCCTTAGGCCTATGCTCTATCCACTGAGCCAAACCGGCTAGGGCTCCCTCTCATTCTTGAAGTTCTCATTCTGCCCATTTCACCTGCCTTAGTGCCCCCCACCCCCAACTCCAGCCTTCCCTATAGGAGGCACATCCTGTTTCCAATGTCATTACAGTTGTATTTTACTACTTTTCTTTTTCTCTCTTGTCCTCCTCTATGGATGCTAATAGCCATTTCATGGGTATATTTTTTAAAAATCGCCTCCTACAAGAGAGAATTAGGACCCCTGGATTCTGCTTTCTGTCCAGCTCAGTAATTTGGAGTGCTCATGGTTGCTTTGGTCAGGTGACGAGTCCTGGATCAAGGATGAAGAGCCTGCTGTAAAGCAGGAAGCCTCCGGAGAAACAGAGCGGTTCAGAGTGCCGGGAGGTGGACTCAGAAATGTTTCTCAGCGCCTTGAATTTAAAAGCAAGGCCACGTGGCCCACTTTCAGCCTGAATCCGAATCTGATACTTCGAGGGGGAATGAAGTTCTATGAGTGCAAAGAATGTGGGAAAATCTTCAGGTACAACTCAAGGCTCATTCGGCATCAGATGAGCCACACCAGGGAGAAGCCCTTCAAATGTAAGGAATGTAGCAAAGCTTTCAAGTCCAGCTATGACTGCATTATACACGAGAAGAACCACATTGGGGAAGGGCCCTATGAATGCAAGGAGTGTGGCAAAGGTTTGAGTTCCAACACAGCCTTGACTCAGCATCAGAGGATCCACACGGGGGAGAAGCCCTACAAGTGCAAGGAGTGCGGCAAGGCCTTCCGCAGGAATGCAGCCTACCTTCAGCATCAGCGCTTACACACGGGGGAGAAAATCTATAAGTGCAAGGAATGCTGGAGAGCCTTTGGTTGTAGGTCACTTTTCATTGTCCACCAGAGAACTCATACTGGGGAGAAGCCCTACCAGTGTAAGGAGTGTGGCAAGGCGTTCACACAGAAGGTAGCCTCCATTCAGCACCAGAGGGTGCACACTGGAGAGAGGCCTTATGAGTGTAAGGTGTGTGGGAAAGCCTTCAGGTGGTACAGCAGTTTTGTTCAGCATCAGAAATTGCACCCCGTGGAGAAAAAGCCCGCCCTGGCGAGTCCCCAGTGCCCCTCTTCAGCCTTGTCGCCGGGTCCTCTCCAGAGCCTGTGCTTGGCTCCCGCTGTGGCCACACCCTCGCTGACCTTCCCGCAGGCTGTGCTCCTTCCTACCTCTGGGCCTTTGTTCGTGCTGCTGCCCACATCTGGAATGCCTTCGCCACCTGTCCAAATAGTGCAGGTCTTCCCGGGCCTTGCTCCCACTGTTAAGCCTTCCCCGGTTCATCTCGCCTCTCGTGAGCTTTATCTTGCCACGCCCGTGGCGCTCACGCCCAGCAAATCTCCAACCTAATTGGAGTTTCATTTGTATTTTTTTCCTCACCTGACATGTGTTTCAGCTGTTTCAGCGCACACTGCATTGTAATCTATATATTTAAAGATTGTGTTTATATAGTATGTTGTCTTTTCTTCGTGGGATGGAAATACTTGATCTTTGCCTTGGCCCCTTTCTGGCTTGAATAGTAATGGCTGTATCTGGGGGTGCTGGTTGGACACTGGGGTGTTAGAGAAGTTTGGGAGAGGGCACATCCCTGTGTTAGGCCATTAGAGAGAAGCAACCTGAGAGAAATGGAGGAGAGTAGAGAATTGTAGTAAATTTGCAACAACAGACTTTAGAAATGAGTGCAGATTGTTGAGAATAGTTCGAGATGGTGTAGTAACGCAGTTGAAGTTGCATTGTCCTCGGCTCGGATCATTGAGGATCTCATACATCTATGCCAAAGCTCGTGTGAGATAACCAGTTTGATTCTCTGCCTTCCCCCAAACCAGTGTCTGTGGTGGAGAGACTGAGAAGCAGGCTGGCAGAGACCTCCAGGGGACATCAGCAGACCGGAATCTAAAGTGTTAACTGTTCCCTAGAGACAAAGCTATTCTAAGAGAAAGTGATGCTTCCCTAACACTAGTGAGATTCACCACAGTGGATGCCACATTGGTGGGACCATTAAACAAATCCACTTATTCATTCTCTTAAAAATATTGGGTATCTACTGTGTGCCAGGCACTGTAGGAAAACCAGGGAAATGATGGTGGACGTCTTCAACCTCCTGAATCTTACAGTTATTTGGGGAAGAAAGTGGGACAGATACTTTAACAAATTATTCAAATGTGAAGGAAATGTGTGGGGTGTTGTGCGAGAATCCAGGAAAAAGGAGAGCCTGAGGGAACAGCAAAGGTCCTGAAGTAGGAAGACACACGGCTCATCTCAGATGCTAAAGGAAATCCAATCTGGCGGGGGTGATAAGTGAGGGTGGAGAAAAATAGTATAACACAGTCATTTTACTAGCACAACTCACTCACTCATTACACAGAGATTCTTCAAGGTTCACCCTAAAGCAAATAAATGTGGCCCAAATATTTTACCCAAGCATTTTATTTTGAAATTGTTAAACCTGTAGAAAAGTTGAAAGAATGGTACAGTGAATACCTGTATACCTTCCCTATAGATTAAACTGTTAGCATTGTTTTCACATTTGCATTTTCTATCTTCATACGTACGTACGTATAGTTTCCTAACTCATTCCAAAGTAAGTTGCAGGCATCAGACACTTTACCCCTGACTTCTTCAGCTGTATCTCCTGAGAATTGAAGGCAATCCTCCCACATAATCACAATAGCACTCTCACAATGTGGGGGTACCATCTAATTTACAGTCCCTTAAAAATATCTGATTTCCTCTGTACCTTTTCTAAAGCTGATTTTTCCCCCCAATCCAAGATCCAATGAAGGTTTCCCATGGATTTGGTTGTTACATCTCTTCTAGAACAGTCCCCTGATTAAAAACAAAATGATACTGACTTTTTAAAAGTTGCTTTACATATACTGAGGTATATTTTACACGTAAATGATTCACCCGTTTCAGGTATACAATTCAATGATTTTTTTTTAGTAACATTAAACATGACCATAAATCAGTTTAACATTTTCATCCAGTAAGGTCCCTCCTGCCCAAGCAACCACTAATCTACTTACTGTCTCCATAAATCTTTTTATGAACAGTTCTTACTTTTTATTAAAAAAATTTTTTTAAATTGATTTCAGAGAGGAAGGAAGAGAGATAGAAAGATCAATGATAAGAATCATTGATCAGCTGCCTCCTGTATGCCCCCTACTGGGGATTGAACCCGCATCCCAGGCATGTGCCTTGACCGGGCCGGTGACCTTCTGGTTCATAGGGTGATACTCACTGAGCCACATTGTCTGGACAACAGTTTCTATTTTTAAAAAGTGCTTTTGGGCTTTCTAGTTACAATATGATGTCCATGCTTAGCTGGTACTTCCCAGCCCTGGCCCTGGAATCAACCATTTCTCCAAGGAGTCCTGATGTGGGACATGATACTTAGAAACCAAGAGCTGGGGACCAGATGTGGTATCTTGAACATGGGTGGCCTGAGGCTGGGATTTGCACATGTCAGCTAGTTCAGGGCTGGGGGGCTGTTGGACATTCACCTGGCTTTCATGTGAAAATGCAAAATGAATGATCAGGTCTCTACGATCTTGGTGCTAAAATATGACAAGAGGCATTGATTTTTGGTTCTTATTTGAACTTGTCGCCATTGTGTGTGTGTGTGTGTAAGAAAAGAGTAAATAATCTATGATTGGCTGCCATGTCTAATTCATTCGCTTTCCAAATAACTGACAGAGTGCCTGAATGTTGAAGGCTTTCAATAAGTGCTTTTTAAATAAATTACCAAAGCATCTTTGTATAGTTATTGCCTTCATCATAATTCATATATACCTCGCCTCCTCAAATAATTCAATTTGTTTCTATTGAGATGTAGTTTAATGTCACCAGAGGGCTAAGCAATATAGAGATTCATGAGCTATAAATTGTAAAACAGGCCTCATTACGTATTAAAATACATCATAATATCTGTGGATCTTTGTTTATAAATTGAAGAAATTATTGCCATAATTATAGGATTACAACAAAAGTGATCTTAAAATAATTAGTGTATATTGGTAGATAAATGTTTGTCACTAGCAAAAGGGAAGTGAACAATGTGAGAAGCAGTAAGTTTAGTCTTTGTTAGTGCAGAAAGGGGCAAAATTTAGCATTGTTTATAAACTTTTACCTGTGCCTAGATTTTAAGCAAGTGGCATTTAAAAAAAATATTTTTATTGATTTCAGAGAGGGAGAGATAGAAACATCAATGATGAGAGAGAATCATTGATTGGCTGCTTCCTGCATGCCCCACACCGGGGACTGACCCCACAACTGGGCATGTGCCCTGACCAGGAATCGAACCGTGACCTCCTGGTTCATAGGTCGACACTCAATCACTGAGCCACGCCAGCCAGGTGAGAAAGTGGCATTTCTAAGAAAGAGTGAAATTGTCATCTTAGAGAGCACAGCAAGCATTAGCCATGGAAGCAAAGGGAAAAGAAAAAGATGGTTGGAGTTATTTCAGTTCTTCTAGCTGGATGCATATATACCCTGCCTCCTCAAATAGTTCAATTTGTTTCTATTGAGATTGACTTGAGAGGTCTTCTTCTGACCTTTCTGGGATGTTAGTAATCCAGAGAGGGGATTGAGCCTGTTCAGGTCTCCACCCTCATTTTCACCCCATTTGACAAAAGATTCACACAGTCCCCAATTGTTTCCACATTTGGTCCTCCTCCCCTTCCTCCTCCTCCTCCTCCTCCTCCAGGTGAGCAAGTGAGGGCGGTGTCAGCACACACCCATCTCCTCCTCCTCCTCCTCTTTCTCTTCCTCCTCCTACCCTATCTAGCTAGCTATCTGGCTATCTCTAAATACTTCCATGGGTATATCCAAGAACAAGAATCTTTTCTAACTGTAACTTCAATATCGTTATCAAATTCATGAAATTTAACACCGATCTAATACTATTTCTTACTTTATAGTCTATATTCAGATTTGGCCAACTATCCCATTAATGTTGCTTACAGCTATCTGTATTTCTAATCCAGGATCACAGATTACATTTAGTTCTCATGTCTTTCTGGGGCCCTTTGATTTAGAACACGTCCTCAGCCTGCCTTTGTCTTGCATGACTTCGACTTTACCTAATTTGGGTTTGTGTAATGTTTCCTCATTATTAGATTCAGATTATGCATTTTGACCCCAATATCCCAGAAGGGATAATGCGTCCTCAGTACATCTTATCTTGAGGCATACCTTGTGGGTTGATTTCATTATTGAAAATAAGGACGTTGACCATTTAGTTCAGGTTGTGTTGATTAGATTTTCCACTGTCAAATTACTCTTTTCCCTTGTGTGGTTAATAGGTACTTTTGTGGGAGGTATTTTGAGTTTATGTAAATATACTCCTTAGCAAACTCTCACCTAGTCTTGCCTGAGTCATACCCTAATTTCTAAATGGAGATGGTATGGATCTATCAGCATCATCTGTGAAGCAGAAGACAGCACCTGGATCCAGTTTCATGATTTTATTAAATTATCCTTGGCAGGTGAAATGGCTGCAGAGCGCCAGCATGCTTCACACTCTTTATTCAGTAGACTGGCAGCCCAGCCAGCCAGGTGAGAGCTGCCAGATATTTTTAAACGGAGCTATAAACAACCGCAGGGGAAGACAGAATAAATTCAGGCTGAGCCTGGGGCCTCTGAGTCCTCAGGTGATGGTTCTCCTGTGACTCGGGGCCAGGTTGACCCTGTAGGTGATCCGCCACTATTCTTAGGACTGGGAAGACCCTTCATCCCTCTGTTGAATTCCTGAATATTTATTTTCAAATTCTACTTAGTTTCTAAGGGTGAGGTCGTTTCCTAGGGAGAAGCTTCACCTCCCCCCGCCCCACCTTTTTTTAAAATATATTTTTTATTTCAGAGAGGAAGGGAGAGGGAGAGAGGGAGATAGATACATCATTGATGAGAGAGAATCATTGATCAGCTGCCTCCTGCATGCCCCACACTGGGGATCGAGCCCACACCCGGGCATGTGCCCTGCCTGGGAATCAAACCGTGACCTCCAGGTTCGTAGATTGTCGTTCAACCACTGAGCCACACCGGCTGGGCAAGCTTCCCATCTTCACGAAGAATCCTTGGACGTATAAGGAACACGTACTGGTCGTACCACCTGCCCCTCCGGCGCCAGGCAGTGAAGGGCCGAGGGTCCCTGGCTTCACTGGGGCAGCGGGGCTTGGGCTTCCCCTGGCTCCCTGCATATGGTGCATTTACTCCTCTCAAAAGCGAACCTTTGCTTTCTATTTGTTGGTCCTGGGCGGTACGGTTCCCCGATATACACAGCATAATGAAAAATGGTGCTTCCCACAGAAGATCCCGAATAGGGTGATTTGTCAGTGACAAAGTCCTGCTGGGCTTTTCTAAGTAGTTGTGGCTCCGGATGGAGTTATTCTCACAGCTAAACAGCAGTGCAGTTGTTCATTTAGTCACCAGCAGAGAGAATCAATGCCTGCGGGCTTGTACAAAGATTCAAGTTCAAGGAGAGTCATCATTGCATTAGTCGTCAAGAAAGCTGGTGGCCGGCGTATGTGTTCCTCAAGCTAAGAAAAGAACTGCTATGACAGCAAGAGGCCAAACCTAGTTTTTACTGAAAAAGAATTAATATCCAATGAGATGCACATATCTTGAGCATGTGATGAGTTTTGACAATTACACTGTGTACCGTCACCAACATAAGATAGAGAACATTTCAAACATCCAGAGAGTTCCAGTCCACACCCAGCACCCAGAGGCAGGGACCGTTCTGGTTCCCATCGCCCTCTTTCCTTGCAAGCTGGCCACTGTTCTAACTTGTAGCTCAAAAGATTGGTTGTGCCTGTTTTTGATCTTCATATAAAGCAGTGGTTCTCAACTTTCCTAATGCCTCGACCCTTTAATACAGTTCCTCATGTTGTGGTGACCCCCAACCATAACATTATTTTTGTTGCTACTTCATAACTGTAATTTTGCTACTGTAAACAATATGTAATTATATATGTGTTTTCCGATGATCTTAGGCGACCCCTGTGAAAGGGTCATTTGACCCCCAAAGGGGTTGAGACCCACAGGTTGAGAACCGCTGATATAAAGGGAATCATGCAATAAGTACTCTTTTTGGCATCTAGTTTCTTGACTATGTATTTTTTTGTGAGATTCATCCATGTAGTTGTCACGTTTTAAAAATTGCCGTGTAATATTCCCCCATATTATCTTGAAGCAAATTATAGACATCATATCATTCCATCCATAAATATTCAGTAGGCAACTCTAAAAGATAGGTAGTCTAAAAAGACCCTACAGCCCAGCCGGTGTGGCTCAGTGGTTGAGTGTTGACCTATGAACCATGAGGTCACAGTTCGATTCCTGGTCAGGGCACATGCCCCGTGTGGGGCGTGCAGGAGGCAGCCAATCAATGATACTCTCTCGTCATTGATGTTTTTCTCTCTCTCCCTCTCCCTTCCTTTCTGAAGTCAATAAAAAAAAATATTTTTAAAAATAAAAAGACCCTATGTTGTCACATTGAAAAGAAATCAGCACAAAGGCTCTGATGTATTTCTGGTCCTCTGTCTGGTGGCGATGTTGGGGGTTGTGGTCCAGGTTGGGACAGGAACATGAGGGCCTGAGGGCCTGACTATGGCAGAGGGTTGCAGAGCAGGAGGAAAGCATTTTGAAATACACAGTGAGGTGCTGGGAGGGGGGCAGGCACGGTGAATGAGGGACTGGGAGGATGACGTCATGCTGTGGTCCAGGTTGAGCCAGGAACTCTGGGGACTTGGGGCTTGCTAAATGTATATGGAATAAATGAGTGACCATGGATGGCATCAGGGACCATGAGTGGCAAAACACCATTTTCTATTCTTTCTGCTTTTTATTCTGGGATTCCCAGCCACTGAGCATATACCTTAAGAAGCATTTAGTCTGAGGTGTGTTTGTTATGCTTAAAGATTCAACTAGCCTGCCTTATGACACACAGTATCTCTCAACTCCAAATACCTTTTCTTTTCTTTGTTTAAAATGGCTCTTTATTCACACACCCACCCCTTCTTTTTGTTGGAATTTAATTTTGACTAGAAGAGATTGGTCTCATTCCCAGGTTATTTGGAATCTGCCTGCATACTGTGTTCTCTT